TGAGTTGGGACCTTGACCCATTCAGAGCGAAGGACTGCTGTATTAGTGGGTGGAAACACTAATTGGAGCATCCTGTGGGGGTCTGTTTTGAATGCTGAAAATGTACAGTTCTAGGGGCCAGCACGTGGCATGGTGGTTGAAGCAGTGGACTCCCACATGGCCAATCACGGTTCAAGTCCTGGACCAACTAGCTTATTTTCTCACTCTCCCTCTCTCTCTTGCTCTGTCTCTTTCTGGTGAGCACACATGCCCTATGCCAAACTTAATAATAATAAAAAAATAAATTAAATAATAAACAATAAATAATTTCTGAAAAAAGGAAAGTTTTTACCTTGCAGTGGTATACACAGAGTTTGTTTCATTTTGTTTTTCTTGGTAGGTCTTTGTGTCTCTGTGCCAAATTAAATTAAGATATAAGTCTCATTTTCTTTGTCTTTGTGGAGGAATGAGACCAGAAGAATGTGGGACAGATAATGAGGCACTCATGCAAAAGTATATTTTTCTGAAACAGAGGAAGTCATTGAAGACTCGGGGTCTGAAATGTAAAGTGTCTACTTAATTTTTAAAGGACAACTTTGCATATTAGCAAGGTCTTCCTGTTTAAGCGTAGTCTCAAAGAAGTAAGAGGGCCTTGCTGGATTTCTCCATAATTCTCAGTAATTACCAGAGGTCAGAACCATTCCTTATCTGTAACAGGTCTTTAGATTATAGACCTAATGGGGATATAACTTTAATGTCGTACAGTTAAAACAACTTCACACTATTTATAAGACATGTCATACAACGCCGAAAACAAGAAATTAGAGTATGTGGAAACTATGCTACTAAAATTAAGCAGCATAAGGAAAATTAATGTAAGCCTATAAGTCACAGCCTGCCTTCTGTTTCAGCAGCTGACCCAGGGGCAATGGAGCCAAAAACAATTTTAAGACCTGTTCAGTTCTGACTTGTAAAGATTATTTGATGTTGCCCCCCTACCCCTATCCCACTTCTAAGTGCATGCCAGGGGTTAGGAAAAAGATTGTAATATTGCCCAACTTTGAGTCTGGCTTCAGTAAGGTGAGACGTCTACTTTTTTTAAAGTAGCATTGGCAGTTGGCAGTACGTTTTGTAACAGTTTATATGGCTACCAGTAATATTTGTGATACTCTGAGGATGTGCACTAGGGAAATATGTGCTTGTTGGAAAGCATGCTGGTGTCTGAGTGAGGATTAATTTTGTTGTTACCTGAATGTGAGTGTTATTGATGTGGCATTAATGTATCTATTTAATATAGAGACAGAAATTTCAAATGTATAATCATGAGAGCATCTTGGTCTTTATAGATGGAAAACACATAGTATAGAAGTAAGAAACACTTCCCTGATTACATCAGAGAATATATACATCTATGTTGAAAAAATAGGCAACTGATAGAGTTAACAACAGCTTAAAGTCTGAATTTGTGTGAAATTTTCAGTGTGAAGATATGATGTGTTAGATGATGGAGTGCATAGATATTATCAAGGCATAGCATTACAACCTGGCACCATTAGACATGGTGGATTATACAGTCAAAAACAGAAGTCTTAATGGACAGCCATGCGGGTGGGTGTGTGGGCAGAAGTGGTTCGGTAAAGCACCAAGTTGGGTAATAGGACAGTGATTCTCAAATGAGGGCAATGGGGAAATTTCTATAGCATGACAGACTGGGTAGATGGATGTAAGATGGACAGCAAAGATACTTTCAGAATTAGGAAAAAATTAGAAGCACAAAATGATGAGTAAGGAGAAAGGGAACTTGTAAGCAGCCAAAACTGCCAGCATGAGGGTGTGGTTGACAGAGCACCTGGATCTCGTATATCAAAGCTGCTCAGTTCATTTGGAGCCGGATAATATAATTGCTTTTTTTTTTTTTCTCCTGTGGGATGCTTTATAAAGGGAACCAATAGGAAATCAGACTTATCTTAAAGAAATTTACTTTAACATTAACCTGGTTAGACTTCATCTAGTCCGTAGCATGTCTTTCTTTTAATACAACTCAGTTACCTACATCTTAAACTATAAAAGAGAGGGTATCTGTTAGAGTTTGATGACAAACTCATATATATGGCATTATTCTCAAAAAACACCTGGAGCTTATGTCCTTGCTTTAGAGACCTTCAGAGGCAGAGGAGAGCCCAACTTCTTCTGGAACATTGCTCTTTGTTATAAATTTTCACTGGAAGGATACTATTTCCTGTGTCTCTCCTAACTTTTGAGCCTTATTCTTCCTTTTTTTGTTTGTTTTTACTGTATGGCGTGTACACTTGACAGAGGGAGATGGTGGTGGTGGTGGTGGTGGTGGTGGTGTGTGTGTGTGTGTGTGTGTGTGTGTGTATGTGTATGTGAGACAAATCATCTCCAAGAGAGGGTGGTCATACCATAGTCCCTTTTCATCCATTCTCCTTATGGAATTTTGGGCATGCACACACATAAACCCAGTGTGATTTTTATGGCTCAGGACTCGAACCATGTTGCCAGCTAGGTGGGATCCAACCGCCTTAACCACCACACCACCAGCTGGTCCAAGACCTCTTTTTGCTTTGTCTTCAGAGAATTGGAAAGCAGCTGGTAACTATTCACTGCTTCAGAATCCTATGTACTTGAAGAAATTTATTAAATCATCCCTTTGAGTTTGGGTTTTAGAATCATTCTCATCACTTTAAGTGTTTCATATAAATCTTATTTTCCAAGTACGATCAACTTTGGAGCTCTCCAAACCATCTGGATGCCAGAACCTCATGCCTCATGCTATAGTCCATAGGGTCTGACCAGTTCTTTAACACAGTGATTGTCTTGTGATTCCTAAGTATTTCTTAAGAATCCCATCATCTTGCTTGTATTTTTAACTTGTAATTTTTAATCAAGATATAATTTACATATCATAATACCATCGAAAACTGTGTAACTCAGATTGTTTTTTTAATATGTTCTCTAAGTTGTATACCCATCCTTACTGTCTAATTCCAGAGCATTTTTTTCATCCCATAAAAAAAAAAATCTGATTGCCATGAGTAACCTTTCCCCATTCATAACCACTAGTCTATTATCAAATTTATAGATTTGCAAATTCTGGACAGTGTCTACAAATGGAATCATATACAATATGTCAACTTTGTCTTTGTCTCCTTTCCTTTAGGGTAATGTTTTCAAAGTGTGTCCATGTTGTAATATGAATTTGAACTTCATTTCTTTTTATGGCTAAATAATATTCCATTGTATGTGTATCCTACATTTTGTTTATTCTTGTTTCGTTGTTAAATTCAGGGTTGTGTGTGTGTGTATAAAATAACTTATATGATATAGATATATAAGAATATAGATCTGTACAGGATATGAAATCATTGATGGTGATCATCTTTTCTTCTTCATGTAGATGGAGTGAACATATAGAGAGAGTCAAAGGAAATTTTTAAGGGCATGGATTTACTCCTATGAACATAAGACACACTTGGGTTTGTGTCTTGGCTGTGCCATTTGCTAGCAGTGTGCTGTACCTCTTGCACCTATGAAATGGAGTAGTAATACCCACCTTATATATAGGGCTGTTGTTATGGTTCTATGAAGTAACTTTTATAAGGCACCTAACATAATGCCTGGCATGTGGTATGTGCTCGATATGTGGCAGTTATTATTCTCATGTAAAATGTTGAGAAGTTAAAAAAGAAATAAGTGGTATAGTGGCCCCTGACTTCAAGGCACTTAATATTCCAATGTTAGAGACAAAATTGACAATCTATAATCCTAAACTTAAGAACAAAGTGTAAAATTTAGGAATATGTGCTGAGAAGTCAAAGCATTAAATAATATTTTTTTATATTGTAAACTTTGGAGAAATTTTTAGGGAAAATGCCTCTGATACCAAGAAAGAAATGTTAGCCTTACTCAAACCCTCTATAATTAGTGATCTACTTGAGGGCTGGTACTCCAAGTTCTCTTCTATGCCTGGAAATGCCTCACAAAATGACTGCACAGAGTGGTTACTCATATTTGTCAAATTGTCGTCTATTTGAGCATTCTAGATACCATCCTTGATTCTCTTCTCAGTATACATTTTCCCTAGGGGCTCTCTCACATATGCCTGTGGAATCCACTGATTTCCTGACCAGTCCCAGGTCTCCGCCTCTAGTCCAGACTTCTCTCTTGAACTCCGGCCCCAAGAGTCCACTTTCCTATTAGATGTTGTGCAGCTACCTGCAATCAAAATGCTCAAGTCTAAACTGTTAGTCTTGTTTTCCAAAATGACCTTACCTTCTCTCATATTTCTATCTTGATTAGTGGGAAAATAATTTTCTACACAATCGCCTAAGTCATAATTTTGGAGCATAGGAACTCTTGTCTCTCATATTCAATCAAATATGTTTACATTCTTCTTTCTCCTCTGGTTTGGGATCTCCTCCAACACAGGGTTCCTGTCTCATTACTTATTATCCCTGCCTAGCTCCAGGCCTGATTTAGGATATGTATGTTTTTAATAAAAGTCTAATGAAAAGGACTTTTTTCTATAGCTTTTCGTTTTCTCTTGAGAGGACCTACACACACACACACAAACACATATGTGTGCTTGTGAGCACATACATGTAGTATTCACACATATCTCCGAGTTCACCAACGCCTGTCCAGTCCTTTAACTCCCTAGTTTATTGGTGAGACTGTCGTATGGCACAAGCCTACAGGCATGTGAAATCATCAAGGGGATGTGGATTGAGAACTCTGCCATGATAATTCATAGTTGCTTCTCGCTAGTTAAGCCACATACTCTAGTCTGCCAAACCATTCTCAGACATTTCTCAACCATTTTCTTTTCCTTTTGTTAACATTTTTTTAAAAGTGTCTTTTAAAAAGGATGGAAAGAAAGAAAAGAAAATCCTACCCTAAGAAATGATCTTGGCCTCGATGAGAATACAGTTTAGATTCCCAGTTGACCATTTTCCATTCTGTGTTTAGAAAACAACAACAAATAACTCCTGAGCCCCTGCCATTGTTTCTGTATGGTTTATGTTTCATGCTCTGCTGCTTAGCCGGCAGGGAGGGAAGTTTAACTGACAAACCCAATTTCTGTAGCTGTGCTGATATCATCCATGATTCAAAGCCACAGTGAAATATTACAAATCAGCCTCAGCCACATTTTTTTTGTTGTTGTTGTTCTTGCTGAGAAACACACATGCACAAAGAAGTTCCAGAGTTGCCAAGTGGGACCAAACAGTCTTAGTGTGGAATGAAGAAAAAGAATTGTGAAACCATGGAGGGTGAAATTATTTAAACTATAAAAGCAAATGACTTTGTTTCCCTGAATTGCCAGACCTTTTAAACCATTCCTTTGGTGCAGTCTCATCCTGCATGGAGCCTGTTGTGTTAATTAGTTGTTTTCTCATCCTGAGATTGCACAGAAATGGTGTGACTGTATTCCAGTACTTGGATGACTTCTCAAGAACAGCTTTTAGTTGGAAAATTATTGTAAAAATAGCATCTCTCTAGGACCAGTTTTATTCTTTCCCAATCATTTTCCTTTGCCAGTGTCTCATTAGCCGTATAATGGATGCTGCTTTGCCTTCCTTTGCTCATGTATTTCTTTCTGCTTGGCGTATTTTCCTGCAGCTTGAGCATCATTCAAAATTCTTCTCATTCGTCAGTGTCCAACCTAAATATCACCTCCTCTGAAAAGTCTTTCAGGTTCTTATTATGCTCTGCTTGTATTTCATCCAGCTCACCAGCACTTACTGGTGTGTAGAAAGGATCTGATAAATATTTATTAAGTTGATATTAATATATGGCTCAGGAAATTGTTGTTTTTATATTACTACGATCTAATTTTTTAATGTAAACAACAAAAGGCTTCTTAAAAAGCTATTTTTATACACAAGTAGGAAACAGGAAAGAAGTAGGTTAAAGAAAAAAATCAGATATACTGTTGTGCAATTTAGAAAAACATTTTAAAATATTATAAATTAGAAAAATTGTGCAAAGGAATAGAAAGCACTGTAGGGACAATACATGATAAGTAAATGATCTATTTCTCCATCTTCTAGGGACCCTGGGCATGCATGCGCATGTGTTCATCATGGTCTTCAAGCTGCCAGACTATGGTGGGCTATGGGAGATTCAGCTCCCGGAACCACTAGAACAGGGCTGATCCTATATTTATATTTGCTATACATTTTAGGATGTATGTTGTTTATTCACCTTTCTTATATCTTATCTGGATTCTTTATTAAAGTTGGTTCTCTAAATTGCTTGGAGAAGTAGTTAGAAACATGATGAAAATGAGAAGATAGATACTTCAAGTGTAAATTCGTTAAGGAGAAACTACCAGTAACCACTTTCAGCCTAAAATTAAGGTGGCCAAAACATGATCATGGGTTGCTAATCCAGAGAACTATTCTGTAGAAACCATGACACAATCAGCTTGCCTGTCAATGTTCAGAACCATAGTTGTAAATTGTGCCCAGTTCCATAATTTGTAATTAATTGGGAGGGGTTGAGTATAGAGGTGGCTGAAAGTTCAGCAACAAAGGTGATTAAAGGATTGTGAAAGAACTATGAGGGAATTTCAAGAAACTAGGATTAGTCAGCTTGGAAAGAAAGGAGGATAAAGGACAATTTAAAGAAAGGAGGATAAAGGACAATTTAATAGCAATCTTTATGTACATAAAGACGCTTAGTAGAACATAGCGCCCAGTGTTTTTCCATCTCACCTGAGGACAGCACGAGAGGCGTCAGCTGCAGTATGAAGGATTTGGAATAGACATAGGAGCACATCTACTAACAAAAAATTGGAGTGGACTGTGAAGAACTTCTATCTCTGAGGATTAAAAATGCATCTATTCTCTTTGGGTGTTTTAAGATGAGTTATGCTCAAAGATTAATGGTATGGACTTGATGGCTTCTGAAATCCCATCCATCCTGTGGTGTAGGACTTTTAAGAACTTCTTTATAGTTAGCAGGGAAGACCAAGTATGCCAGTCAAATCAGGAGGAAGCCTGATGTAGAAAAAAAGGCCCCAGGTCCAGCCATGGTGAAGCACACTGCTGAGCGGCTGCTGTTGGAGCTGAGGCGACATGGGGCTTAGGTTCCCAGTCCCACTTAAACAGGCCAGACATGACGCTGTGTGTCAGTGGTCCTAGCTAGCCGGGAGGCTGGAGCAGGAGGACACTGACATGGTGAGATCCTTTCAGACATCAACCAAGCAATCAATCTCTCTCATAAGAAAACAAACTTTAAGAAAAGAGAAAGAAGTGTGCCAGGCTGAGAGTCACAGGAACGCGCCTGCTGTCTTGGGTGTACTGTAACTAGTCGGGTACTCTCTTGTGCTTGTCGCTTAGCTCCTCTGTGCTTCAGTTTCTTCATCTGTAAAATGAGGGAGTTGGCCTACCTATCTTAAAATGGAGTTTAAAAATGGAAAACCTAACACTTAGTAAACTCTTCTGGTCTGTCTATTGAGCAAGCCTTCGCTACATGTTATCTCACTTATCAGTCATTTCACTGGACTCATTTTACAGAGGAGCAAGCTGAGATCAGAGAGACAAGTGCCGTGCCAGTTATACACAGCTAGTTCAGTTGGGAGTAGACCCAAATCTCCTGACTCCCAGGCCGGGACTCTTACTGAGCTAAGCTTTTAATAATAATGTTCTGACATAATATTTGTGACTCCTTTCTAGTTTCTTTTTTTTTTCCCCATTACGTCCCCTTTCTTCCTTCCAGAATGTTTATCATGCCTATAATATGGTGGGCAGTGTGATAGGTGCTAATCATACAGAATAGAATTTTAATGATAAATTTTCAAGGCTTTTTTTATTTAGCTTTAGTTATTTTTAATTTTTTAACTTCATGTTTTGCCATAAGGTACATGCACCTGCCAGAGAGAGAATGAGAGAGACAGAGAGAGGGAAAGTGAGGAATTACCCCCGAGGGAGGATGGCCACACTGCAATCCTTTCTCCCCATCTCCCCCCAGGGATTTTGGTCACACAAGCACACATTTCCAGCATGATTTTCAAGCTTCTGGGTCCAGGACTTGAATTGAGCAGCCAGCCAGCACAGCCATGTGGGATCCAGCCGCCTTAATCTACTTACTGCCTGCTGGTCCAAAAGATTTTAAATTCAAAGTAAAAGTGTTTTAGGTCACGTAGGAAGCTTTTGGATCTTTCCAGGTGTGTAGATGCCTTTAATGGTGCAATATGCCTCTGTCAGTAGATGTTTGCCAGAGGCAGAGTAACAAGAGGTAGAGATACTTATCTGCCATGGCTTGGGACCCTCTGGCTTTGCCCAAGAAGGTAATAGGGCCCTCTTGTTTTTCTTCAAACAGTCTCTTCCCCTTTTCCTCTCTCCCCCAAGGCCCTCTGATAAAGGCCTTCATCATGGCTGAGATACAGGTGAAACTTTCCCATCTTCTAGAACCATCCTCTGGAGTCCCTGCACCATTGCTCTCCCTTGGGGCCAGGGCTGTAGCCAATCATCAGTCTGAAAACTCTCTGTACTTTAATCCCTACTCTGCCACTCACCAACTATTGGTCTTAGATACATTACTTATGTATTTTGTGAAATAGGAATGATAATGATATTTACCTCAGAGCATGGTCATAAGAATTAAACAAAAAAAATACAAGTGAAGTCATGATTTGGGGGAGTACTAGACTCTGGTCTCTGGTCATAGACTCAACTAAATTTTTTCAAGACCTGTGCCATATACTGACAGTGCTTTCTTCATTATTCAGTTCATTTCCCCTGTCTGTAGACAAAGGAAATGGCCCTGAAAACTATTACTAACATGGCAAGATCCCAGCTCTAGTCTAGGGCTTGTCATTCTTTCTTTCTTTTTTTTTTTTTTTTTTTTTTTTCGGGGTTTTTTTTTTTTGTAGAGGTTTTTGCTATAAGGTATGTGTGCTCGCCAGAAAGAGAGAGACAGAGAGACAGAAAACGAGAAATCATCTTCCAGGGGTGATGGCCATGCCACAATCCCTTCTCTATTCTCTCGGGATCTTGGGCACACATGCACACGAGCCCGGCATAAATTTAAGCCACCAGGTCCGGGACTTGAACTGCAGTAGACTACATGGAAGTTCAGCGACATAGACATTATACTAACTGCTGGTCCCACCATTCTTTTTTGATGTGGAGAGAGGATCAGAGCTGTGCCATAGGTCTGTTATATCTTTACACTCTATCTAGCTCTTGAGACTGCCTCATCTCTAAACTAATGATACAGGATTTGACAGACTGTTCATAACCAGTTTCTATAGACCAGGCTAAATCTTCCATCTCATATTAAAATTTCAACTTTGACAATATTAAATCAACTCATATCATCTCTAGCATGTCAGTGCATTCAACCCCTGCTCTTTAGAATCAGTTAAAGTTTTTCCTTTTTCTTTTTTCTTTTTCCCTATGGTTTTTGCTATAGGGCACATGTGCTCAACAAAAGAGGAAGAGAGAGAGGGAGGAAGTGAGAGATCATCATACAGGGAGAGGATGGCCATGCCTCAATTCCTTCTCCTCCATTTTCCTCTCAGTATTTTGGGTATACCTGCACACATACCCAGCATGATTTTCAAGATGCCAGGTCCAGGACTCAAAACGTGGTTGACCATGTGAGTCCATTGCCTTAATCACCACGCCACTTTCTGACTCCGCAGTTAAACTTTTAAACTGTATGTTCAGGGGTAAGAAGACCCAGAGGAGATCAGACCTATAGCCTGTTGAGAGGTTACAAAAGACATAAAATTGTAGGATAATCTTATATAGATGACTTTCTTATTCAATAATATGGATTATATTCATTGAGGTGTTTTGAGTGCAAGCAATAGAAACTAACCTTATTGGGTTAAAAGAACAAAGGGCAAGTTTGGAATAGGTCATTGAAAGAATAACAAACAAATTTCTAAGACAAGACAGCCTTAGAAATATAGGAAACAGAAGCAAAATAAATAGTCGCATTATGATTCCACTGCTGGGATAAATCCTCTCCGATATTTTCTAATCTTATTGTTTAGCTAATTATTCTCATTCCTAGGAGAGAGTCAGACTGGCTTGCTTGGATTATGAGCCTACCTCTTGGCCAGGGGAAGGGCCTGCACCTTGGATGACAATCTTACCAGCTCTGTCCATAATGAAGGTCATGGGTAGAACCCCAAAGCCAAACAAGGGTGTTTCTACCAAAGATCTGAAGACAACAGATGTCCACTATAAACCTGTTCTACAGGGTTCTACAGTGAGGGGACAGATTCAGTCATATATTCGAAGATACGGGACATCCCCCAGAGGCTTCTACTTCTTAACAGCGACCAAAAAGACCTCTATCTTGCTTAGGTGTTCTTGGCAGTGCTTTTGTGGCCATTTGTCTCCAATGTCTTCTTAGAATTTAAAATCAGTAGCTATCAAAGGACATCTTTGGTCATTGTAGTTTCCTAGAGTAGCATGTGTTTAAGAAATTTTTAAATATGGAGGCTAGAAGGTGGAGCAACAGTAACATTTGTTGCTGTATGAGACTGACCCACATAGGAAGGTTCCATGTTTGTGTCCAGCAACCTCCCTGGGTACTCCAAGTGAGTTTGTGCTCATGGTACAGGGCTGGCTGAGGCTGGGGATAGATTGGGGCATTGAGACCTTATTGGGTTGCTTTCTCTCTCTCTGCCTATATTTCTCTCACTCATGGAAGAAACAAATTTTTAAAAAGCTTTACCATGATAAAAATTATAGTCATCATCATTTTCTCATATATATAATTTTTTTGAGAGAAAGAT